GAGGTACAGGTCTGTGATTAAACAGTCTTACACAATTCACAGCGCTCACCATGTCTTTTTAAAGCCCTCCATCTATGGAAAGGCAAAGACCAAATCAGAGGGAGATTCTCTCTCCCCAAGACAAAAAGAGGAAGGAACTCCGAAAGAAATACAGATAAGCAAACAAGTCCTGGTTAAAACACACATTCAGTGGCTCCATCTCTTCTGAGAAATGAAACTAACAATTGTGTGGGTCACTCAAGCTGAATAGTTCAGCCAAGGGTATTTTTTTTAAAGCCTATTGCTTTGGAGAACTAATTTGCTTAATGTCTGCAGAGCAGATTTTTTTTTAATTAAAAGGAAACCGCAATTTTAAAATGTATTATTTCCTTAGAAAGTTCTTCATTCCACGAATTCCTCCATAACATGACACCAAAATAATCTCAGGAACAGACAGCAATCTCCTCCCAGTGCATGGGAGGGTGCACTTTCCCAGGCAGAGGGTAAATGCTGACAAAGCAACAGGCTGTAAGATTTTCTGAACAGGAGGTTCAGAAACAGCTAAGGGGTATTCCCCTGGCTGGGTAGGCGGTCTGTGCATCTTGACTGTATGCAGATTTCTAATCCTCCATTCCATTGCTCCCCTCCTGCCTCTGGGATGACCAACTGTCCTGGCCGGCCTGGGACTGAAGAGGGTTCCCCAGGACATGGGGCTTTCAGCTTCAAAATCGGGCAAAGCCTGGACAAACCAGGACAAGTTGGCCTCCCCACTCAGAAGACTTCTTGCGAAATTCCCCCACAGTACACCAAGCCCATGCAGAATACTAATAATACCCTTGCCAATTTGTACATCCCTCTGGTCTGGCCGTCACCACCCAGATGACCATTTGCAGGTCTGGTCTCTGTGTCAAGCACACAGTAGCTGCCCAGTAAATCTAGAGATGAACAGAGACAGGATATAGGTCATTCTGCCCTACAGGGACATGGGCTTTAGCATATCAGGACTACCTTCCTTATCTTCATGGGTGGCAGAGCTCCTTGGGAAAGGCGACAGATGATGGGCTGGTTTTATGCATATATTTTGCTTCAAGACTTTTTTTCAGCACCAGTGGATTTCCTCCTGAGCCCCTGAGTCCCTGCCCAGCAACAGAGTCCCCAAAAGCTAAGCCAGTGTTAAAAAGCAGACGCTACTTTTCTCTAAAGCAGTGCGTTCTAGAGTTCTTCTCTTCAGTGTGACTAGAGCCTGGAAATTTAAAACATAAAAAGGAACTCAAGTCAATAAAATTTGTATGTGGAAGAAACAGTACAAAATGTGCAGAAGCAAAAGGCGGTGGAAGAACATGACATGTTCTTGGAAGGGAGATCTGGGCTTGGCTGAAGCAAAGGATGATGACAAGTCTCGAGGCAATAGAGATTTGCAGGGCCCCAAAGCAAAATGCTTTGTCCACCCAAACACTGTCAGTGGGTGTATAAACCAGGGTACTCTCTCTGGTGGGCCATTTAGCAATAATTATCAGACTTTAAGTAAACACTCTCCTTGTCCTAGCAATTCCCTCTAGAGGATTCGTACTTGTAGAAGTACATCCAGATGCATATATAAGGATATTCATTGCATCACTGCTCAGAAACCAAATTGAAAGCATAAAACAAACTGCCCTACGTGTCCATCAATAAGAGGCTGAGTGGGTGAATAAATCACGGTCAATCCATTAAATGGAACACTGATTAGACATTGTAAAGAGGAAGATAACTCAGAGCCAATATAGGACCATCTCTAAGATCTATTAAGTGAAAACATCAAGAGGAGTTTGTGTAGTATGATCTCAACTGGGTTAAATAAAAACTTAGATATTGTGTGTATACATTATACATACATATTTTATATACTCACACAAATGCATGTGTTTTGTACAATGCCTGAAAAAAGGTCTGAAAAGATACACAAAAACAGATTTTTCACTTTATAATTTGCCTGCTCTGAATTTTTTACCATGACCATGCTACTTTGTGAAAATTAGTAAGTGGAAACCTCCCTGAAGTAGACTCAGGATGCAAGAAGGGGAGGCTCCCAATTACAGACCCCTAACAGAAGATTCCCCAACAGGAACCAATGGTCTATCCCAGGCCCCAACAGGGAAAGATGTACCTTGTATTTCCCATAAGAAATTCACTACCCCTGCCACTCAGCCAACGAGAAACAATCACCCTGAACTCCCCAGTTCAAAACAACCCCTCCCGACTTCCGCCTTTTCCATAAGATAACATTCCTCTCCTTTGTTTGTTGGTCTTGCCTATGGCTTTCCCATAGCTTGCTTGTCCTGAATGGCAGTTTTCTTTTTCTGAAATAAACCCACGTTTGCTGGTAAAGTAACTTATTTTTAAGGTGAACATTTTAAAATACAGAACAACTATAACAAAAAACTAAACAAACTTTTTCATATCCAACATCATGAGTTTTATCCTGTAGTTCATATGGTCCCAATGCAGGAGTTTCCAGTTAAAGAATGGCTCAATCATAAACATCTGTGCTGCGCAGAATAAATAAGTCAAAAGGAGCTATATGGCATTTGCATCTTCAGGAGGAGTATCTTTGTAGAGTCAAATGGACCGGGTTCTAACTCTAATTCTGCCATTTTCTTGACCTCAGCAAATTGCATCATCTCACCAGACCCTGGTTTCTTCCTTTTATCCAGTGGATCTAATAGTGAATGCCCACCACTGAGGTTGACTGTACACTGTGCAGCAGAGGTTCAACACCTAGCAAACAATTCATGGTAGCCAGTAGTGACTGAAGTTGTAGTAGTGATGTGCTAGCCCCAAGACCCGTTAAGAAGGTTCTAGATCCTGCTCCCAGTTCTCCCCTGATTTTATATCTTCAGTTCCTTAACCTTTCCCTCAAAATTAGTAATGATGTTTCTAAAATGGATAATTAGATCTGCGGCCTTCCTACGAGGATTTAATGAGCTGTTTATCACCATGTAATAGTTCACTGTCTTCCTCAATACAAGAGAGAGATAAGCACGGGTTTGTCCTGTGATAAGCTTCAGAAATAAGTAGGGCCTGGAAACAGAGAGAAGGAAACCGTTTTCGCTAAGCTCTTTGGACCTAGACTCAACAAAGTTAGGTGACCAACTACTACTCTGAGGTTTAAAGCTCTCTGCAGGGCTAAAGCAAATTTTGTGGTTTGTAGGAGTATTCCAAAGAATAAGGCCTGTCAGAAGGACCAACCAGGCTCATCACCCACAGACACTGCAGCTGAAGAGCGACAGTTCGTTTCTAAAAAAGACCTTGGCACTCGCTCCACAACAGCTCCAACGGGACTAGATTAAAAGTAAAAACAACATAAAGTGTCCCCCCTCACCCAGCACTCTGGGGCTTTTCAAGACAGGCACAGAACAGCTCTAAATGAACTTCTGGCCAAGGAACCAGGTCTGACTCTCAGCTGGCCTCGGTCTCCACAGGTCATTATCTTGCTGGGTGTGTGAGAACTTGTCCCCAGCCTGTCATTTGTTCCTTAACTCTCTGGTGAAATCCTTAATAGTACTCTCCACCTTATAAAAGGAGAAAGTATGGCTACGGAAAGTACCCAGCCATCCCCAGGCCATCCTGTGTGCCCCCCCCCGCCCCCATCTACCCCTAAGAGTAAACTCTGAAAGGGGTTCAACAGGTGAGCTGTAGCCACCTCCACTAGTCTTTCACAGGATCTATAGACAGCAGAGGGCCAGGCTTTCTTGAAGAACTAACCTGGTCCTAATTAAGAAGCAGGAGTGTTTGTGAGGGCAGAAGGAGGGACAGTGCAGACTTCTGGATTGTGCCGGAAACATGAGTATGACCGTTCCCTTCTCTATAGTTCAGTTTCATCATCAATGAATGAAAGGGCTGGGACAAGCTCATGGGAGATCCCTCCAGACGGACTCATGCCAAGTATATTCTCTCCAGCATCTCCAAGGAGAAAATCCGAAAGAACAACCTCAAATTCACAGTGACTTGTAAACCAGGAGTTCCTGTTTTTGTGTGTGTGTGTTTGGGCAGCCGCAGAAATGACCATGCAGTCTTCTATTTGGTCTGAGAACCCAGAGCCACCGCACAGCGAGAAGAAGAGGCATTTCCTGCCAGCATCAAGCTTTCCCTCCCATAAATACTAACAGCACACAGGCTACTGCAGTGGGGAAGTCTCAGCCTGCCCGTAGCAGGGACCGAGGCAAGCCCACGAAACACGCACACAATCACTCCCAAACTTCCCGCTCACTCCCCAGGCTTAATCACTGGAGAGGGCGCAGGCCTGGGGGAGTTGACTTGGGGGCTGGACTGAGCCTGGGAACCAAAGGCAAAGAACTAGGAACTAGTAGCAATTAATGTGATTCTGGCCAAAAGTAACTCGACCTATTATTGGTGTATCAGTGGGGCGGGGCCCGTCAGCACGGCAGCAGTGGGCCCTGCTCCTGAGACCTGCCGGCGGACTCCCTCCTCCCGCCCCCCCCCCCCCCAGCAGGTATTCAGGGAGAAACCGCACAATGCGACCCAAGTGCGTCACGCCACAGAGATCCTAGGGGAGGAAGGGATTTGTCCCGGCGGGTTCACCAGCCCCTGAGTCACCCACCTGGGCGAAGGGCTGACACGGACCACGGGCTTCAGGACAGGTGCCGGTCAAACAAGACAATAGAGCCATCAGACGGAAATGACAAGGGGAGGATGAGCCCAGATGCCGGGATAGGGACAGAAAAGGACAGATGGAGAGCTGGAAGGAGCGCAGAGGAGGGGGCGCGCGGATTGACTCTGGCCCTGGAGACAGCATACCCCAAATACACGTCCAGGTTCCAGGCGCAGCCACGATTAGTGGCGGTCCCCTCCCTCAAGCCCGCCTGCCATCCCCGCTCCCGCTCCCGCACCGTGTTGTAGAACTCGGCGATGGCAGGCACGATGGTGTAGTTGTCCTCGCACCAATCCACCTCCGAGCTGCCGGCCCGCAGCTGGTCCCACCAGTGTGGGATGCTCATGGCCGCTGTGGGGCATTGGAGCAGCGGCTCCCGCAGCCGAGAAGAGCCCAGGGCTACTGCTGGACGCCGACTGCAGCGGCCTCGGCTTTACACGCGAAGAGTCAGCCGCCGGATGTGGCGCCTCCCCAGCCGGCCCCCTAGTGCTCCGCTCCGCCTGTTGGACGTGACTCGCTCGTGGACCCCTCCCCCAGCTCCGCCCCCTGGAGGGGAAGGCGAGGGTAGGAGCAGGCCACGCCCACCCGAGGGGCGGGATGCATGTGGGAGGAGGGGCAGTCCGGAATCGGGGAGCTCCAGGCTCCAGGCAAGTCTGGATACCGCGGCTACCGCTACGGCAGGTGGCAGAAGCCTTGACGGCCCGGCCCGGTGCCTGCCTGTGCCTGCCCACGCCCAGACTCACAGGCGCCACGACTCCCCCACCCCC